CTCCAGTGAGTGCCTGCGTGGCTGGGAGAGGGTTAACAGAAAGGCTGGCCATTAGCGGAGATTTATCTGGGACTCCCATACAGTCCTGGTGAACGTTTGCTGACTAAATGGATAAAATGTCACAACTCGTTAGGGGTATTTCAATTATCACTGAGAACCATTTGGAAATGACATATTTTGTCATGTGAAATGGACATGTACTACATATATGTGAGTGAATCTGTTAAGTCGGCAAGTGTGTTGGGTGGTATGTTGGGTGAGTTTGTAGGTGAGTGCTGGGTGAGTGAGTGAGTTAAGTTTTACGCTGCACTCAGCAATATTCCAGCTTTTTGGTGGTGGTCTGTAAATAATCGAGTCTGGACCATACAATCCAGTGATCAACAGCATGAGCATCGATCTACGCAATTGGGATATGATGACATGTGTCAACCCAGTCAGCAAGCCTGACCACCCGATCCTGTTTGTCGCCTCCGATCTAACCCAGATCTTCACGGGTATACTTGCTAAGATTTGGGCGTTTAGGTCAGTGCTAGGTGAGGTAGTTGATGTAAAACACATGGGTAATGGAGACCTATCCTTCCCAGGAATACACAGTAGAGTTTTAGCATGATGTTGTTGAATACATGATCTACCCTTAAAGATTCAAGTCAGAATTGGTCTTCAGCAACCCATGCTTATCACAAGAAGCACAAACAACAGGATCAGATAGTCAGGCTCGCTGACTTAGTTGACACTAGTCATTGTACCCCAATTGCGTAGATCGATCCTAATGTTGTCAATCACTGGATTGTCTGGTCCAGACTCGATTACAGGCCACCAACATGTAGATAGAACATTTCTGAGTGCAGAGTTAAACAACAAACAAACTAGGGGTGGGTATTGCAGAGAATTTTCATATTGCGATATATTGCGATGCGAACAGCATATATTGCGATATGTATTGCAATATATTGCATGAAGTATTTTTAAACAAAAAACTACTTATAATCGAGTTACTTCTTGATTTATAGAGCAGAAACACAACAAATTCACTAGGCTTGATTAAGCTTTAATAACAACTTTTAATCATGATCAAATAAAAATGTGAATAATATTTGGCACAAATGAAACAAGGACATATCCGAAGATTTCCGAGTGTTACAAAGTTTTCCGAATGCAAGTCAAAATACCGGTTTTCGATCAGCGTATCGCAATACGTATCGTTTTCATGTCTGAACCGGTAAATACCGGTAAACCGGTTATATTGCGCAGCCCTAAAACAAACCCAAAAACTTCAGTTTAAGCTTTGTGATACGTGCCTGAATAGGCCACCATTTGTATTTGATGAAGAAAAACAGAACGCCTGGCTTGAAGAGGGTGACAGATTAACATCATTACACCAATAGCTGATGTTGCAACATCTACTCAGGACGACATCTTCCCGACCCACCTACTTCTAATATGAAGCTGATGATGTTATATACACACAAGTATTCTACAAGAGAAGTGAAGACTATAGATATCACCCTCAGGTTATAGCAGGACAAGACAGGAGAAGCCTTAGGCATTCTCTGTGGACAATAGGAGGCAAGAACGCTGGGATGATTAGCTGTATCATCCTCAAGATATAATGAGGTGTATTTTAATGAACATGATTACAGAGCTCCTCCTGTTATATTTAAAAGCAGAGCTCCTCAAGTAATATTTACATGCAGTGGTGCCTCTTTTTCCTATTGCAAAATCCTTTTTTTTTTATTGAAATTCAGTCAGTCAGTCAGTCATCAAAAACAATTACATACATCATCAACATATTTAGATTTACAACACAAATGTCCCATATATCTGGAAGGACAAGGGCAATAGCTGAAATATTGCAGATGAAAATGTTAAATGCTCACTTAGGCCAGACCAGTTTTATTTCTTGTTTTATGGATTTTTGTCCTCAGACAACCTAAAGGCAGAAAGTAAAAAAAAAATATCACCAAAGTACTATTCCATTTAAATACTAAAAGTAATTTAATTTTGGCAATTAATGAAGTGTATATGATATATGGACCAATCTAAAAAAAATTCTTGTATCTTTACATATCTGGCCTATGAAAACATTAGGATTTTATTTATTGACATTTATTTTTTATTTTTCTTATTCTTGAAAAAATATGACTGGTGGATCCGTAAAACAAGATATAAAATTGGTCTGGTCTTACTAAGAAATCCACTCACTCACTCTCTCACTCAAAGCTAAGTGAAGTAGAAGAGATATTTATTTCTAGCCAGTTAGGCAACTGTGACTTAATTAGCATCTGTCAAGCGTATAGACAGACTTTACAGTCTATTCCTATATTACCTCCTTTGATTGGATGTAATATTTAGGCTCTGTTGATGTATGAAACTAAATAAGGATGAGAAAATTAGGGGTGAAGTCTTCCAGGAGACCACAGAGTCTGGTGAACCAAGACCCCATTTCATTAAATTGTGCATACTGTAAGTGTATGTCAAACTATGGGAGTTGTGGCAGTCGTAGCATAATGATTGCTTTGTGAAATGAAGTCCAGCCATGGACAGACTTGATGCGGTATTGTGGTCAATACCAAGGTCATCAGAGGTCAGCGTGGCCCGCAGCACACAGTAATAGGCTATTTCCCTCACAGAGTCCTCACCTCCCTGTGTTTCCCTCACAGAGTCCTCACCTCCCTTCTTCCTGACCATTAACTGATGTTGTAGCCCCTGGACCGGCTAGACAAACTCTATTGGACAGTCACTGGACTGTCTAGACAAGCAGTCTCCCCTGTAGCCCCTGGACCGGCTAGACAAACTCTATTGGACAGTCACTGGACTGTCTAGACAAGCAGTCTCCCCTGCAGCCCCTGGACCAGGCTAGACAAACTCTATTGGACAGTCACTGGACTGTCTAGACAAGCAGTCTCCCCTGTAGCCCCTGGACCGGCTAGACAAACTCTATTGGACAGTCACTGGACTGTCTAGACAAGCAGTCTCCCCTGTAGCCCCTGGACCAGCTAGACAAACTCTATTGGACAGTCACTGGACTGTCTAGACAAGCAGTCTCCCCTGTAGCCCCTGGACCGGCTAGACAAACTCTATTGGACAGTCACTGGACTGTCTAGACAAGCAGTCTCCCCTGTAGCCCCTGGACCGGCTAGACAAACTCTATTGGACAGTCACTGGACTGTCTAGACAAGCAGTCTCCCCTGTAGCCCCTGGACCGGCTAGACAAACTCTATTGGACAGTCACTGGACTGTCTAGACAAGCAGTCTCCCCTGCAGCCCCTGGACCTGTCTAGACAAGCAGCTAGACAAACTCTATTGGACAGTCACTGGACTGTCTAGACAAGCAGTCTCCCCTGTAGCCCCTGGACCAGCTAGACAAACTCTATTGGACAGTCACTGGACTGTCTAGACAAGCAGTCTCCCCTGTAGCCCCTGGACCGGCTAGACAAACTCTATTGGACAGTCTCTGGACCGGCTAGACAAACTCTATTGGACAGTCACTGGACTGTCTAGACAAGCAGTCTCCCTGTAGCCCTGGAGCCCCTGGACTGGACTGTCTAGACAAACTCTATTGGACAGTCACTGGACTGTCTAGGACAAGCAGTCTCCCCTGCAGCCCCTGGACCGGCTAGACAAACTCTATTGGACAGTCACTGGACTGTCTAGACAAGCAGTCTCCCCTGGACAGCCCTGGACTGGACCCCCTGGCTAGACAAACTCTATTGGACAGTCACTGGACTGTCTAGACAAGCAGTCTCCCCTGCAGCCCCTGGACCGGCTAGACAAACTCTATTGGACAGTCACTGGACTGTCTAGACAAGCAGTCTCCCTGCAGCCCCTGGACCAGCTAGACAAACTCTATTGGACAGTCACTGGACTGTCTAGACAAGCAGTCTCCCCTGCAGCCCCTGGACCGGCTAGACAAACTCTATTGGACAGTCACTGGACTGTCTAGACAAGCAGTCTCCCCTGTAGCCCCTGGACCGGCTAGACAAACTCTATTGGACAGTCACTGGACTGTCTAGACAAGCAGTCTCCCCTGTAGCCCCTGGACCGGCTAGACAAACTCTATTGGACAGTCACTGGACTGTCTAGACAAGCAGTCTCCCCTGCAGCCCCTGGACCGGCTAGACAAACTCTATTGGACAGTCACTGGACTGTCTAGACAAGCAGTCTCCCCTGTAGCCACTGGACAATCATTCCAACTACACTCACTCACTCACAAAGCAGGTCAATAGGCTTATTATCAATTCTTATTTGCTATCAGGGAAATACATCTTGAAGACATAAATATTATCCCATGATGCAACAGTAACCTTGACCTATGTCTGGCCATATGCCTCCCCCATATCCTTCCTTCTGTTAGTGAGTGAGTGTTGGTTAACACTGCTTTGAAGCGTACACCAGTTACAACATTTCAGTTGGTGAAACCCACAGTGGGCCACAGTGGGAAAACCAGGATTCAAAACCTTGATTATAGGCTACTGGCAAGCCCAAGGGACGCAACTCTGCATGTGAAATGTGGTGTCTTCGGGCGCATATTTACCCTATTTCTGGTTCAAGGTGAGGTGAAAATTGGGTTTAACGTCGCACTTAAGAACATTTCGCTCATATGACCACATGCATGCATGTGTACGTGTGGCTGCTTGTACTAGCCCAGACTTAAGCTGGTTTTATAGTGCTAGCCCACTGAGATACCATGCCGCAGTGAAGCATGAATACCCCACTCAGACACATTATACTGACTCCGAGCCGACCAGTCCTTGTTGTACCCATTAATGCTGAGCGCCAGGCAGGGACCAATAAGTGCCATATTTTAACGTCTTGGTATGTCGCGGCCAGGGATCGAACCCACAACCTTCCTCTCTCCGTGCGGGCGCTCTAACCACTACACCACGGAGGCGGTATTTCTGGTTCAAGCTGTCCTTCCACTCCACCACCACCTGTGGTGCCTTAGATGGCTGAGCCCCTGTGTTTCCCTTCCAACTATTACATTGTGTACTATAACCTACCTGTATATCCAGCAACACAGGTACATCGGTAAAATCCAATCTGATCCACACAGGTAGCATTGTTCCGACAAGGTGTGGAATCACACTCGTTAACCTCCACATCACACCTGTTACCTGTCCAGGCAGGGGGGCATGTACAGGTATAGTCATTGACAGCATCTACACAGGTACCACCGTTCACACACGGTGCCCCTCTCACACTCGTCAATATCCTCCGCGCAAGGTAAGACCTGTGTACCTGTCAAGAAGAAGGCAGAGTATTAAAATGAATTATAACATGTTTTTTTTACAGATATATACTTCCCATCAAAAGTTTAGACTCACTAGTGTAAATATAGCCACTTACTTCAGACAACTGTTCTAAACTAAATTTTGCAAAATATTCCATACTGTTTAAAGGTATTGTTAACACATGAACTGATGTATTGTAAAACAAATTCATAACGTGTTCTAAACTAAATTTTGCAAAATATTCCATACTGTTTAAAGGTATTGTTAACACATGAACTGATGTATTGTAAAACAAATTCATAACGTGTTCTAAACTAAATTTTGCAAAATATTCCATACTGTTTAAAGGTATTGTTAACACATGAACTGATGTATTGTAAAACAAATTCATAACGTTGTAAAGATAATTGTCATGAGTTCAAAAAATGATAAAAATCAGTGACAATTGGCGAATTCATGACAAAACTTCAGACCAAAACGCAGCTGTTCACATGCACAATATTTGCACATGCTTTGCAGCAATTTGATGCATGATCCTCATGCAATTCAACTGCAAAAGGTTTACAGATGGTTCCCCCAAGTTTGTGGAGAAATCAATCTTTGATGTAACCAAATATATGTACATAACATATAGTGAGTGCTTTAAGTGAGTCTAAACTTTTGATGGGAAGTACATATGCTGATTTCAAAAGATATACTTCTTTTAATTAGAACGTTATTAGGTACTATAATCAGTTGCAAATCATGCATGTAGATCTAGATTAACATTATACGTTCTCACAACTGCATGTATTATTGAGCATTTGATACCTGAACATTTTAAGCACTGGCATTAAGTGAGGTTTCAAATGTTCATGCATAAAATACTCAATGACACACTCAAATAAAGAAACATACTGATCAACACTGAAATATGAATAAGTTATCTGTAATTTTCAGTAAATTTGTTTCAGTTAATTGCTCCTCAAAAAGCTATATGAATATGTTGTCATGTTTGCTGTAAATAAGAAATTGTTTATCAGTCTTGCATATTACCATTTTTATGGGGTTTATCTGCATGTTTGTAGAAGGCAGAATTAAAACAGTTTTTGTCATATACATGTATATATTTCATTAAATAATTTTATTGACATTCAGTCTCGAACTACAGACCATGTAACATTTAATGCATTGTTCCCAGATTTTAAAAAAGTTTAAAAATCAGTTTGAAAAAAGAAAATATTGTTTGACAGCACTCAATTCGCATCCGATGGTTCTGATATTGATTTTCTCATATCACCTCGATGTCATGTGGTCGACCTGCCATTGGAATCTAACAATGGAATGACATTTAAACTTTTCTCTGCATCATCAATTTTTCCAGCTTTTTCTCCTATTATTTGTACTATAAAACCATGAATAATCCAATCAATTCATCATTGACATTTTTAAATGTTTCAGCCAATCAAAAAGCCCATTTCCTGGAATAAAACAACATTCAACTGAGCCCCTATAGATCCTGCCTTGAAGACAATGGAGATTCCATGGAACACAGAATCTGACGGAATACCTCCTTATTGTAAATCAGCACAAGCCTGAATTACCCAGCCTTAAAGAACAGGATCAAAGCTTAATAATAACAACTAACAAATGAATAATTATGTCTTTATATCCTTCATACGACAATTTTGGATATTCAGACTTTATTCTCTATATTCCTTCCAGTTAACCACTACAGTATCAATGGTCAATAAATCATTCTAAGTGCACAAGGAATTCCTTTAAGTTCCAAGCAACAATAGTGAGTGAGTGAGTTTAGTTTTACGCCACTTTAGCAATATTCCAGCAATATCACGGCAGGGGACACCACAAATGGGCTTCACACATTGTACCTATGAGGGGAATCAAACCCAGGTTTTCGGCGTGTCACAAGCAAATACTTTAACCACTAGGCTACCTAACCACCCCTCCAAGCAACAATAAATCTCTGAGAGAAAAATAAGAAACTTCAGGATTCCCACTGTAATATATTGCGACAGGTCCTTTACCAGATTCATAAAAATAATCAGGATCTGTTTATAGCCCAAACCTGTGTTGGAGTGCCTGTGTTTCTTTCAGTGTGAGTTTGTGTCAAGAAAGGCTTGAGACCGTAGTCCAAAAATTCGCTCTTAGAATCATTTCAGGAGAGTTTAGTGTTATCATATGAAATATTAATTGTTTCTTTAAGTCACATTTATGTTATTACTCGAGTCTGTGTACTATTAATTGCTGAGCTTACCAATTAAACCTACCGGTACAAGAATTTTCAAAGACTAGTGCTTCAGACAAGTGGGTAAATTCACGGACTGCAATTGTCTTTCCACATCCACTAGGATTCTGATACAATAATACAGGATAGAAAAAAAACAACCTCCATCATCTGGATCTATATATAGCCCATACCTGTGTTATGAGTGCCGGATACCTCACAATGTGGGGTAAAAGGGAAACTTGCAGTCTGTGCCAAAATATTTGTGACTACTAGCCCAATCTTGCCTTTGCGCATTATTTCAGTTATACTTAGAGTTATTATATGAGCTTTTTTAAGCTGATATTTAGACCAAACCAAATTTTTGTAGACTTGGCTCTCAGACAAGTGGTTAAAGTTACAGACTGAAATTGTATTCAACATCAATGATTCTCATACAAATAAAATATGGTGACTATAGAAAAAATATGAACTTCAATTCTGCACCTTTAAAATACCAAACAAAAGTTTAAAGCAAATTTATCCCTTATTTGCCAATTGATGAAAATGAATCATGACGCCCTTCATGTTCCATTCTAACCTCATCACAACCCTGTCTCTTTGTGTGAGAGATCTCTGTTTTGATGGCCCGAAGTCAACAGTATAAAAAATCTACATCCTGAAACAGACTAATTGAATTAGAACCCAAACAAAGAAAATCAATAACATGAAGGACTTTCTACAAATTATTCACGTTGAAAAGAATTATTGATTTTTTTTTTTTAAAAACCCAAAACTTTCAAGTGGCACAAATCAGATTATAGGGGTGAGCAGTTGCTGGGTCTCCCAGAGCAGTGATTGAGTTAGTTCATCTCCGATTGATGGAGAACTGTTAAGTCTGGGAGACTATGGTATGCCAAGTAAGCTTAATCGTGCTACTGTTTGTTCATGATAGACGGATGAAATCTTTGAGTGGCATTTTAAGTTCAAATCTGATCAGGTCATGAATCATTTATGGAAAACACTTCCGTATATTTAATCTTTTTTAAAAAAAATTGTCACCCAGTGAATGGGAGTGAGTGAGTATAGTGTTACGCAGTTTTTAGCAATATTCCAGCAATATCACGGCGGGGGACACCAGACATGGGCTTCACACATTATACCCATGTGGGGAATCAAACCCAGGTCTTTGTTGTGACAAGCAGGTGTTCAGGAAGCATGTTCACAGACAAAGTTATTTATTTATTAACCTGTGCAGTGCCATCTCCAGCCGTTCTCGAACACCTGGCTGTCCCTTTCTCTGCACTCCTCCCTCATAACAAATAGTGAACTGTGTCAATATTTTAATGATAGATTGTTAAACAACTTTTTTATTTTTAGGACAAAAATTCTGCAAAAAACTCAGAGTGGGTATGATGTTTTGATTATGATCAGCGTTTCATTGAGTATTTTATGTTTATTAGTTTTCGAGTTACATTGCAATTCATCGGTCCGCTTTTGAGCCAAACGGACTATAGTTAAAATTGTGTCAGGTAAGCTCGACACTTCACGTACATATTTACATCTATCACAGTGAGTATTACAGAGACTTATTTAAGTGTAAAAAGACCATAAAAGCTATTCTTTAATGATAAACGTGGTACAGTATTCATAATGGACAAGAGAAACAACAATTATCTGTACAGATCTCTCCTAGTTCAGGAGCCAACTCAAGACATACCTTAGACTAAGGCTTAGTCTCTAAATATATATAATTTTGATAGTAACAAACAAGCCCATTTATATTGAAAAGGAGCCCTAGGGAGACCAGAGATTCCTGAACCTGAGCAAATCTAGACTTGCTTTATTTAGTGATTTAGCACTGCAGAGAGGGCTTGGCAGTAGGGAAATTAATGTGGTTCAGGGACTGTGAGACAGACTAGACAGACTAGACATACCTCTACAACTTAGCTTTTCATCAGTGACTCCCAATAATCTCTCTTCTCTGACACTCTTGAATATAGTAACTCTAGAACTCTTTTTGTGCGCTTTGAGCATGTCACTGACATGGATATATACGCAATATAAATAGTACCCTTATAGCAGGCTGTGGCGAAAAAGCGTCATTAGAAACCAATCTTTATCCAATAAAATCGCTTCATACAACTGTGAAAATACTCTCGACAAGGGTACAGTGATATTGTTGATGTTCAGAGCTTTCGAGCAATACCCGACATCAAACGATTCGCCTCGCATGTTATTCATAGGAAGCTTCAAAAGTGGGGGTATTTTCCGTTGTTGTCATGTTACCGAGCAGAAAGCTACTCGGGAAATAGGCGACAATACATTTATTTAAAAATCTTTTTTATAATAATTTTCTGATTACGTAAAAATGAAAATATAAAGGAAAAAGGCACGGGCATGTTATGACATGTCATAATGGAAAAAGAATTGCCATAGCTTTTGCTTCTTTCGTGGTTTATCTGGACATTATAAATGTAAGCTTGCATTTTCACATAAATACAGAAGTTTACTGTGAATTTTATTTCTAAATAGCAGTAATGATAAAAGAAGTTTTAACCCCATATAATCGCCCACCTAAAATAAGCGCCCATGGGCGATTTATTGAGTGGGCGGCTTTCTGGAAAATCACGGTATATTATTACTATTATCACATAGTTTTGTGTTTAATATAGTTTGTTGTTCTAGTGTGCACCATAAACCTGCTGATAACAAAAATAACCTTGTTTTGTCTTCCAACTAGTAAATATTAAGACCCACTAGTCCACTGGTCTAGTAGTAAAACTGTTGACGTCAAATCCTGTTTCTGACTAAAATTCATATTCCTCAATAAATAATTAACTGTTCATTCGGAAATTCAATTTATGGTGACAAATTTCACTGGGAACACAACTGTCCTGATCAAAGGGTATCCGTCATACCCACATAGGATTCAGTTGGGTCTCCAGCTGGGACAGATGCTACTTGCTACACAACTGTCTGCATCATTACATCTGAGACATTAAATGAAAGCAATGAAATTGACAGTGTTTCATTTTTGAAGATCAAAGTTTCATAGGTTTCCCAAGGGAACATTTTTAGCAGGAAAAAACAAGTCTTTTAGATGTCAGCTGACACAATGATATTGACTCCAACATGGCACTCAGACCACCTACCCTGCTGCACAAGCACACCGATACTGGTTGACGAGGTTGATGCACGTTGCACCATTAGCACACGGTGATGTTGCACATTCGTCGATGTCCGTACTACAGTTCTTCCCTGTCCATCCACCTGAGCATGTGCAGGTGTAGTCGTTGAAAGCATCCGTGCAGGTGGCGCCATTTTGGCAGAACCCGTACTGACATTCGTTGATCTCACTCTCACACACAGATCCGGTGTACCCGCTTGGACATTGGCAGCGGAAGGCGTTGACTTCGTCCAAGCATGTGCCACCATTTTGACAGGAGCCAGATTTACAGTCATCTATGTTGCTCTGGCAGTTCGACCCTGGAACAAAACAAACAAAACTAAGAACAGATTGTATGTAGCAGTGAAAGAGGTGCTTATTGCGGTTGGAGGTGCAAATGCATCCAACCTTTTTGTCAGACTGAATTTGTCTCTCAGGTGAAATTTCTCTCAACAATATTAGGGCTGCGCAATATAACCGGTTTACCGGTATTTACCAGTTCAGACATGAAAACAATACGTATTGCGATACGCTGATCGAAAACCGGTATTTTGACATGCATTCGGAAAACTTCATAACACTCGGAAATCTTCGGATATTTCCGTTTTTTTAATTGTTCTTTTCCCTGTTTCATTAGTGCCAAATGTTACTTACATTTTTATTTTGTCATGATTAAAAGTTTTTATAAAAGGTTAATCAATCATAGTGATTTTGTTGTGTTTTTGCTTTATAATCAAGCATTAACTCGATTATAAGTAGTTTTTGTTAAAAAAATAATCCTTGCAATATATTGCAATACATATTGCAATATATGCTTCCGCATCGCAATATATCGCAATATAAAATTCTCTGCAATACCCACCCCTAAACAATATACACTTGGATCATTCAAAATGAACTTTCAACCAAGGATGCTTAGTCTCTTTGTATTTTGGCAATGGTGGGAATGGATGGATGTGTGCCTGATCCTACTGCATGCTGTCTGTAAGAGTTCCCCACGATGGGAATGGATGGATGTGTGCCTGATCCTACAGCATGCTGTCTGTAAGAGTTCCCCACGATGGGAACGGATGGATGTGTGCCTGATCCTACACCATGCTGTCTGTAAGAGTTCCCCATGATGGGATCGGATGGATGTGTGCCTGATCCTACAGCATGCTGTGTGTACGAGTTCCCCACGATGGGATCGGATGGTTGTGTGCCTGATCCTACTGCATGCTGTGTGTAAGAGTTCCCCATGATGGGAACGGATGGATGTGTGCCTGATCCTACAGCATGCTGTCTGTAAGAGTTCCCCACGATGGGAACGGATGGATGTGTGCCTGATCCTACAGCATGCTGTCTGTAAGAGTTCCCCACGATGGGAACGGATGGATGTGTGCCTGATCCTACAGCATGCTGTGTGTAAGAGTTCCCCACGATGGGAACGGATGGATGTGTGCCTGATCCTACAGCATGCTGTGTGTAAGAGTTCCCCACGATGGGAACGGATGGATGTGTGCCTGGTCCTACACCATGCTGTCTGTAAGAGTTCCCCACGATGGGAACGGATGGATGTGTGCCTGATCCTACAGCATGCTGTCTGTAAGAGTTCCCCACGATGGGAACGGATGGATGTGTGCCTGGTCCTACACATGCATGCTGTCTGTAAGAGTTCCCCACGATGGGAGCGGATGGATGTGTGCCTGATCCTACTGCATGCTGTCTGTAAGAGTTCCCCACGATGGGAGCGGATGGATGTGTGCCTGATCCTGAGCATGCTGTGTGTAAGAGTTCCCCACGCATGGGAACGGATGGATGTGTGCCTGATCCTACAGCATGCTGCTGATGGGATGGATGGATGTGTGCCTGATCCTACAGCATGCTGTCTGTAAGAGTTCCCCACGATGGGAACGGATGGATGTGTGCCTGATCCTACTGCATGCTGTCTGTAAGAGTTCCCCGCGATGGGAGGCGGATGGATGTGTGCCTGATCCTACTGCATGCTGTCTGTAAGAGTTCCCCACGATGGGAGCGGGATGGATGTGTGCCTGATCCTACTGCATGCTGTCTGTAAGAATTCCCCACGATGGGAACGGATGGATGTGTGCCTGATCCTACTGCATGCTGTCTGTAAGAATTCCCCACGATGGGAACGGATGGATGTGTGCCTGATCCTACTGCATGCTGTCTGTAAGAATTCCCCACGATGGGAACGGATGGATGTGTGCCTGATCCTACTGCATGCTGTCTGTAAGAGTTCCCCACGATGGGAGCGGATGGATGTGTGCCTGATCCTACTGCCTGATGGGAAGCGATCGGATGGATGTGTGCGCCCGGTCCTACAGCATGCTGTCTGTAAGAGTTCCCACGATGGGAACGGATGGATGTGTGCCTGATCCTACTGCATGCTGTCTGTAAGAGTTCCCCTACGATGGGAGCGGATGGATGTGTGCCTGATCCTACAGCATGCTGTGTGTAAGAGTTCCCCGAGGATGGGGAACGGATGGAACGGATGGATGTGTGCCTGATCCTACAGCATGCTGTCTGTAAGAGTTCCCCACGATGGGAACGGATGGATGTGTGCCTGGTCCTACTGCATGCTGTCTGTAAGAGTTCCCCATGATGGGAAGAGATGGATGTGTGCCTGATCCTGCATGCTGTCTGTAGAATTCCCCATGATGGGAGCGGATGGATGTGATGGATGTGTGCCTGATCCTACTGCATGCTGTCTGTAAGAGTTCCCCACGATGGGAACGGATTGATGTGTGCCTGATCCTACTGCATGCTGTGTATAAGAGTTCCCCACGATGGGAACGGATGGATGTGTGCCTGATCCTACTGCATGCTGTCTGTAAGAGTTCCCCACAATGGGAACGGATGGATGTATGCCTGATCCTACTGCATGCTGTCTGTAAGAGTTCCCCACAATGGGAACGGATGGATGTATGCCTGATCCTACTGCATGCTTTCTGTAAGAGTTCCCCACAATGGGAACGGCTGTATGTGTGCCTGATCCTACTGTATGGACTGCTGCGTATAATATCAACCACCAGTTTGCCTGGTCATTTAAAACATTTGTGACACAGGTGAACCTGCTCACTCATGAAACCATGATGTATAACCAGAAAATGAGCTCATGGTGTATAAATGGCAAAACAGTATTTACTCACAATTGATGTGTAACAGTAAATCAACGTTCTCATCACCGAAGACCGGGTTCGATTCCCCACATGGGTACAATGTGTTAAGCCCATTTCTGGTGTTCCCCGCCGTGATATTGCTGGAATATTGCTAAAAGCGGCGTAAAACCAAACTCACTCACTCACTCACTGTAACAGAAAAACAACATTCACCCGTGAACCCAGAATCTATAACAGTAAATCAACATTCACTTCTAAACCCAGAAGGGGTAGCCTAGTTATTAAGGCGTTTGCCTATCACGCAGAAGACCCGGGTTCGATTCCCCACATGGGTACAATGCGTGAAGCCCATTTCTGGTGTCCCCACCGTGATAAAGCTGGACTATTGCTAAAGGCGGTATAAAACCAAACTCACTCATGAACCCAGAATCTATAACAGTAAAGCATTCACTTGTGAACTCAAAACTTAAAACAGTAAAACATTCACTCGTGATCCCAGAATCTATAACAGTCAAACAATCAAGAACCTAGAATGTATAAATGTAATGGTAAAAAAGAATATTAATACTCACTCACTCACTCACTCACTCACACTCACACCCAACTCATTTAAACATACCAAAGAAATTATATTCAATAGTGGCAGAGCGGACATATTTCACTGTCACAAAATCATTGTCACATTATCCTGTATTATTTTTATAAAATTATTCTTAAACTATTCCTAATGTTCTTTGATAACGCTTATTAAATATCCTTTTAGTAAAATAGTGATCAGGGGACTTAGACCTCAACACAAAGACACCAATCCTCCAAACCATTACATGGAATCACCGACAAATTAAGCCCCTGAAATATCAACATTCAAAGAACAACAGGGTGCCATTCTCAGAGTGGGATCATCGGAGTTCTGCAAATGGCAATTTGTGTCGGACCACCATTCCTGAAAGCCCCGCCACGATGAGAGACAGAGAGAGGGAGAGATTCAACTCGGCGTACATTTCCGAAAAATGAATGATTGATGGTGGAACGAAACCAGCATAAAGAGACCTCGTGTGAAATACGAATCACCGTGGACAGCCATTGCCGATTCCTAGCTAGATGTCATTTGTCATTATTCTTTAACAGTGCTTCATCATCACATGATGACTTTTGTAACTTTCAATAAATTTTAGAGAGAAAAAATTCCGTCATTATGGCCCAGAATGATTGTAGTCTGAGTATGCAGAGACAAAGAAAGATGCTCGCCTGCTCGTATTTCTGTAATCAAGGCATGGCTTTTATTTTGGGAAAGTGACCCACATAAAAGAAACAACCTCATATTTCATACAATGTGAAAATTAAAGAATTGGACTACCCCACCATGGGATGATATAATTTATGTGAAAATAATTAAATGGAAGCAGGATGATGGATCACTCTATAGGGAAATGTAGGCTGAATATTTTTAATTTTGAATCAGAAATTATTACGCTTATGATTTCCAATTTAATTCCTGATCATGTAAAAAGAAATATTAAAAAAACCATGTTTTTAATAAAACTTTGCCCTAGATCATTTTTTGTCATAACTCTTACTAGTGCTTCAGACATTATTTTCTTTTTAAATCAGAAAAATATTAATAATTATTATATGTTATAAATAAAAATAATTAAAATTGTACATGGACTTTAATGGTTTTCCAGATTAATCAGTCTTCTAATACTCTATACAACAAACCACTTGTCATGAACAGACCAGGATCTGATAGCAAGATGCCATTTGATACATATTGTGGTAAAAGGAGCATCATATTCCAGGCTTCCTTTCCCTTTCAGCTGCTGTAAATAATGAGGAGATCCAGGAATTTTGAAAGGGGTGTGTGTGTGTATGTGTGTGTGTGTGTATTTTGAACCCCTTATCCCCCCATTTGGCTCCGCCAACGCAAAAAAAAAATCTTCAATGTGGTCTTAAATCATTTTCAAAAGGGGGGGTTCAAACCCCCCTCTGGATCCGCCAAGGTATTAACAACTGTTCCTCTGCCTGGGTGAGAAAAAGCAGGCATGTCACAATGTTCCTTGTCATCAGTAGTTACTGCACAATTTGAATTTTAACCGTTGAATTTGTTTTTCAAAAGAACTTAAAATCTTGAGAAGAACCATTAGGTTAATTTTCATCCAAATCAAGACCAACACAAGTCAATTCTTCAAGGATAAAAA